GGGGGGGGGGGGGGGGGGGGGGGGGGGGGGGGGGGGGGGGGGGGGGGGGGGGGGGGGGGGGGGTGTTTTGGCGGGGGCGGGGGTCCGGTAGCCCCGCGGAAGGGGGTCAAGGGTGAAACCCCTACCCCGGTTTGACAGCGCTGGAGCCTGATGAGGTTTGATCACAACATAGCACCTTGTAGGCGCAGATCTCTCATGAAGACATCTCTTGCAGCGCGCAATGTCGACAACATCATTCCTCATTTCTCACTCAACCAATCCTACAGATCCCAAATTTTCTCCTTGTCGCATTCCAATCAGTGGAGACTGTGGCATGCGCCACATCAGCAATGCCAAGACAGCGTGGCAAGTGTCATGTTAGCATTCAAGAAGACAGCTGGCGCCAGGAGTAGAGAGGTGCCAACATGCAAAGCAGCAGTCTCACATCGTCGTCGCACAAATTGCAACTAAGAGTCAGCGTCTTGACAGCGTCGTGCCAACGCCGTGCCAATGTCAAGCAGCAAGGCAAGACTGAATGTTGACTCCCAGGGGCTGGGACAACAAGTAGTGTTGACATTGACCAGCCTCTGGTCTCTCACCCACGGAGGCTCATATTGACTCACAACTAACGGTTTCGATCTCGTACAGTTATAGACTTCTACTTGGACGGATTGCTGTCTGGATACCAGTGTGTGTCCGATCAGTGGACTGGATTGAGTATGTGAAGACTTTGATTTGAGAGCCTCAATATTTCGACACACAGTGGATTTCGATCAATTGCTACGTGCAGGGCCTCTAAAGCCACATTTCAAGGGTTTTGTTCCGCACGGTCGAACGCAGGGCCTTACGATCGACTCATGGCCTGCGGGTGGCCCCCTTGGCCGACGACGTAGGCATATTTTAGTGGGTTAGTGCTTTCACACAAGCCCAATTTTTTAGTTTCATCGCATAAACTCTTTAGATTACAAATCTCTCTCTCTCAATCCACGATCATAAGCATAGACTATGTAACTTGAAGAAGTAATTGGTAAAAATGATTTTTTGCTAAACCACCGAGCTTCAAATGGGGGTTGAGACTTAAACTTTACCTTGAACTACTTTTGTGGTCTTCCTCCGCGACCTGTAGAAAAATATTCATACTTAAGTAGTTTTTCAACTTCATAGTCTCCATCCATTGAAGGAGGAAATATAGATGGGCCGTTGGGAAATCATGACCTTCTGCGAATGGCAGAGTAGTTTAGACGCGTGAAAGTCAGGGTATGTCTTGAGGTGTGGGGGTACATCTACTATGTAAGATGACCCATCAGTATCCCCTATCACCTTGAGAACTTCACAGGGTCCGTAGTAGACAGGTAGCACCTCTGTGATACATTTTTTTCTTAAAGAAAATTATTTAGACTTGACCCAAACAAGACCTCCTTTGAACGTTGATGGTCGACGATGTTTATTAGCCTGTTCAATCATTTATAGTTGAATTTATTGAATATTTTCCTTTACTTTTTTTATATATTCTTCATACAAAATTGCAAACTATTGTATTCGTAGAGGCAGCCGTTGGACTCAGTTCCGGGTCAGAGCATCAATGAGACATGGCGACTTTCATGCTTTGTGAAGTGCGTTCTGTGTTCTGTCAAGACTGTTATTATACGCACTTGCAATTTTAGGCAAGTTTTCATCCCAATCTATCTGATCTGGCCTCACATACATTCGCAGAAGTTGTTGGCACAAACGGTTCATCTGTTCAGTTTGCTCATTCATTGCAAGTTGTCTTTGTAACGACGTAATCAATCTATGCCTCCATCAACTTTTGTCATTATTGGTCGGTGAACCATTAATTTTGATATGAGATGATGATTTTTTTTTAATCCATATTATGAAAACCATCAAATATGAAACGTCTGATTAATCAGCTCCGTTCTTGCTTTGGCAGGCAGAGGAATGAACATAACATATTTAGAGAATCGGTCAATAATGACCATTACTTGACTGTTGTCATTTCGACTCTTATAGAGATTCATGAAGTCAATCGAGATAGACTCACTTGACTCATTTGGAATAAGTAGTGGTCTCAATAGTCCTAATGAATTCTCATACGAGGGTTTGTGCCTTTGACAAACAAAACAAATCCTCACATAGGTTAGCACATTCATATTAATTTCTTTCCATTTAACGTGTTTTCTAACATTAACATACGTCGTTTTAAATCCGAAGTGTCCTTCTGTATTATGACATCCCCAATAATCATACTCTTTACATCTTCTTTGTGTGGAATGCAAATTTTTTCTTTCGTTTTATCAATAAAAAAAAGTAAGTCATCAGACATTTGATATTCAGGGAATAATTCATGTTTCCTTTGTAGGGTCACAATGACAGGACTCCAAATCGGATCATCATTGTAACCCTTACAGATTTGGTTTTCCAAGTCATTCTCATTATCGAGATAAGAAACGATAGCTCCAAAGAAATCAGATCGTCTGGATAAAGCATCTGCAATAAGGTTAGACTTTCCTTTAATAATTTTCAATTCAAAGTCGAACGTGTCACTGACGACAAACCATTTAACTAACTTGTCGGAGAGTCAAGGTTGAGTTTTTATCTACTTCAGTGTATAGTGGTTTGAGTACACAGTGAAGTGTCTCCCCAACAAGTAGTGTTTTCATGTCTCAAGGGATGCAATTAGAACCTACAATTATGTTTCGTATGTGGAGTTAGTCACTTTATATGACGGAAGATTGTTTAAACATAAACTCAATAGGTCTATATCATATGCCATCATCTTTCTGTAGTACCACCCCAATTCCGTACTTATGAGCATCAATAGTGACAATGAAAAGGAGGGAATAATCAACAATTTTCAAGACAGGACAGTGAGTTAACACATGTTTTAATTTTTTAAACGCATACTTATAATCTTTGTCTCATAATCAAGTTTTTTATTTTTTCATAAGTTTTATCATAGGCGCAACTATCAGTGAGAAGTTCCTTACAAACTTCCTATAGTAATTAGCCAGTCCTAGAAAATATTTGAGTTAAGTGACCGTTTTGGGTCTGGGTCAAACCCAAATTACTGTTATTTTTTTCTCTTTAGGTTTTTATCTTTCTTTGTTTACTATATGTTCAAGGTATATCACCTCGGATTTAGCAAATTCAAATTTCTTATAGTTATCTTCTAGCAAATTTTGTAGAACTATTGTAGATATTTCTCATGATCTTCAAGCGTTTTACTATACACGAGGATATCGTCGAGATACACAACTATGAACTAATATAACCATTGACGAAACGATTCATTTATAGACCTTTTAAAAGTGGCAGGTGCATTAGTCAATCTAAAAGGTATAACCACGAACCCGTAGTAGCCATACGTAATTCGAAAGACTGTTTTGTGTTGATTTTCAGTTGTCATCTTGATCTTGTAGTACCCTAACTTCTTAGTAAAGTATTTACAATCCTTGTTACCGGTCCAATAAGTCGTTAATCAAAGGAAAATGTTTTGCATTTTTAACAGTGACAAAAGTCGATAATCAATACAAGTCTAAATTTTCCTTTCATTTTGAGCACAAACAAGACGGAAGCACCATGGGGAGAGGAGTTTTGTCGAATTCATCATTTATCTGTAAGTTATTGCAGTTGTTTCTTCAATTCTTCCAATTCCCTATGAGAGATTCAATAGATGGGTCCTTTGGGAATCTTACTTTTGGGAATGATCTCGATAGTGTGCTTGATAGCACGTTCAGTTATCCCCGTAGGTTTAGTCTGCATTATGAAATTCAGTTATAAGTTTTTATAGAGAAAGAGCATAGGATGAAGAACATTCACCGAATCACTTTCGTTACCATACTCCGAAAAGCAAAAGACTCATACAAAAGAAAGACAGTGATGAGTCAGAACAAGACTTAATAAACCGTTTAATTGGTTTTAAATTGAAATTTTACTCCTTTAGGCTATCAATCTTTTCTTTGAATTTGTTTTTTGGGTCGATTTCCTCGTGTCGATCCATTCGCACATTTAAGTCAAATGGTAAGTCGTTCTCTACGAGGAAGGTTACTTTATATAATATTTGTTTCCCCTCCTTTGTTTGAAAATAATACTTAACACAACTAACATATTGAGAGACAGTAATCGTTATTTTATCCGCAAACCTGGACATGAGAGGTCGTGGTGGGTCCTTCACACGCATTCTGAGATGAAATTTCTTAACTGCCTTTTATATGTAAAATCATGTCGACCCCAGATTTAACAAAGAACCTACTCGTGTACTTGCAATCTCAATGTCAACAGTCATCAATTTGCCCTTGGACTTTATTTTCTTAGCCCAGAAACTTCTCAAAGCAATTAGTTCATCCAAGTTCGTAAATGGTATCGCTCAGTGAGACATCAAACAAACTCAGAGTGTTATGAACGATGGGTCGAAGAAGAGTCATCCTCTGCCATGTGAGTCGGGGAGTTGAAAAGGGTTATAGGCGTCTTACCTTCAACCGAACCCTCCAACTCGGTAGGAGTTTTGTTACTCATACTGACCGCTCCCTTTTGGATTACAAATGGGAGGGCACCATGCAATGATGTGTCCTAAGAGTTTCGCTATTCCTACTGGTCGCTCCCTTTTGGATTACAAAAGAGAGGGCACCATTCAATAATGTGCCCTACAGTGCCACACTTAAAACATTGTCAATTGTTCATTCATTCCTGTCATTCTTCCCTTGTTAAGTTTATTTTCTTTCAGGGTCTTCCGATTTCAATGCCAGGATGCTCTAGGAAGGTGCGTGGTCTCTTCTTCTTACCGTATCCGCCTAGGTTGGTGCCACCCTTGTTGGAACTATGGTAGTGACATCACCCTTTCAAGACTCACTGCTACTGTTTGTTCCACCCTCGGCCTGATCGAGAGTAATTTTTTCACTTGTGTCATCGTTGAAGACGACGAGAGTGTGGTCCTATCGCTTTTACCACCACAGGACAAGCTTACCATTCTCATACCCACCGGACGAACTACTTCGCACAAAGGACCTTTCACATGTGCGGTCATCTGCTTTTCCTAGAGCGCGAGGTCACGAAACTGCTTGTAGTTGTAATTACCGGATTTTGCCTCGGCCACGAGATGTCCACGGATAGGCTCAGGCAATGCATGAGAGTAGATGTATATGATATGATTGTCCTGCAGGTTCAAACCTTGTACTTGAAACAAACGATCCACTTCGCGAGACAAGGCTTCCACAGTTGTCCATCGCCTATGACATATTGTTGTGAGCTCATGAAATGTCTTATCGACAATCATTTTGTTGAGGAATATCTCCTTGATCTTCTTGAGAAATTCCTGCAAGGTCATAGTCTTAGTCCACTCACCAATATCCTCAAAGCCAACATTGTTAGCCTCAGACAATACCCACTCCTTCTCGACTTCACCAAGACAGGAGGTCGAAAACGCAACTTGACTTTCGGCCTCAACATGAATGACACTACAGTAAGTTTGTATTTCTGCTATCCATAATAGTATATGTTCCCCTCGCGTGTCATTATACGAGAAAAAAAGTTTCATTTTGACACTTTCTTCTTTTAAATTTTCTTTTTGGTGGGTTCTTAATTTTTCGCCAGTTGTTCAAGTTCCTTTCCAGATGTCTCGGATTTCTCCGACGTTTTTTTGATTCCCTTCCTTGCGTCTTGCATTGATGTTTCTTGGTGTTTCTTCTTCTTTTTCCCCTCTTCCTCCTCCTCATACACTACCTTGTTTTTTCCTTTGACCAACCGTGTCAGTGTCTAAAGTTCAGTGGTGACATTGTCAATCTTTATCTCTAGGTATGCAAGTTATCAACTTTTGAAACTTCAACATTAAACTTTTGCACGATTTTTTGTACTTTCTTTGTTTTTTCTTCTTTCTCTCTCTTTGGTTTCTGATAGTTTTTTTTTTTTTTTTTAATTTCGCATCCAATGCAGTCTAAAGTTATCTAATAGTGACGTCCATGATTTCTTATATAAGTTCTTCCTTCATCTCAGATGCTTCAAACTTTTTTCTCTTCTTTAGCCTCTTCCCTTTTTGACATCTTCGCAAATTGTTCCGCAACAAAGTGATCAAGTGTACACTTTCTGCTGGTTTCCATAATCTGGACAACAGTTTCAGCCCGTTTCAGTTCGTCTTTTGATGCACGCAGATCAAACAGACTACTTCCATGTTGTCCAGCCTCAGGACTAACGTCTTATACTTCCTGGAGCAACGTGTGAAGACGGTTCAACATTTTATGTCGTCATTCCTCGATTTGGCGTCGGGTCCTCATCTCCTCCTCCTCCTCATTTTCAAAGAGGGTGATAGAGATGTGATAGAAAAGAAAGGGAATGAAGCGAGTAAAGATGAACGCACACAAACATTTTCATACAAAAGTCATTCTGACAAATGAGTTTGCTGCACAATAAACTTTACAAAGACAATAGCAAATTTCACAGTCTCGCTTCAATGTATTTCCTACGACATATTAAGTAAAGAAAAAAATAAAATAAAGATTAAGATCCTTCTATTTTACCTATTTTCCTGGGTAGCACCGTGTACACGTACGCGTGCTCAGCATACGAGCATATGTGTATGCACGTACGTGCGTACGTGCCGCATACGTGTACGCGCGTACCCGTTTTCGGGGTCAGCTTACGTGATAAAACCGGGCGGCTTGGGGGGGCAGTCTTGGACCCGTAGGCCTGGGGTAGGCCGGGGTAGCCCGTCGGGGCCAAGCGCGGTGTGCAGGGATGCGGTGGACGGGGTGGAGATCGCCTGCGGTGGAGTGCTGTTGTTGCCATCGTTGTGGTGGCCTGCTGTTGCAGCCATCGCTGGTAAGTGGACTCTCTCCTCCCCGTCGTCCTCTTCCTCCTCCTCCCCATCGCCCTCTTCCTCGTCCTCCTCCTCCCCATTGCCCACTTCCTCCTCCTCCTTCTCCCCATTGCCCTCTCCCTCCTCCTCCTTATCTTCGTCTTCTTCCCCATCGCCCTCTTCCTCGTCGTGCCCCTCCCCATCGCCCTCTTCCTCCTCCTCCTCCCCCCCATCGTCGTTTTCCTCCTCCCCATCGCCCTCTTCCTCCTCCTCCTCCCCTCCGTCGTCCTCTTCCTTGTCCTCCTCCCCCCCATCGCCCTCTTCCTCCTCCTCCTCCTCCCCATCGCCTTGCCACGTCAACTTTTTTTTTTCTCAGCGAACCTCTAGGATCAATGAAAGCTCGAAGTGGGCCATTTTTCGTAAGCAGATCTGTCGATGCGGGATGAACCGAAAGTCGAGCTACGGTGTCAAACTACTCGCTAACCCAGACACCACAAAGGGTGTCGATTGATACAGACAGCCTCCTCCTCCTCCTGATCTTCGTTTCCCTCCCCATCGCCCTCTTCCTCGTCCTCCTCCTCCCCATCTCCCTGCCACGTCAACTTTTTTTTTTTTTTTTTTTTTTCAACGAACCTATAGGATTAATGAAATCTCGAAGCGGGCCATTTTTCGTAAGCAAAACTGGCGATGCGGGATGAACCGAAAGTCGAGTTACGGTGCCAAACTGCGCGTTAACCCAGACTCCACAAAGGGTGTCGATTGATACACACAGCAGGAAAACACCGATGGGGAGGAGGAGGAGGTAGAGGGCGATGGGGAGGAAAACAAAGACCAGGAGGAGGAGGAAGAGGGCAATGGGGAGGAGGAGGAAGAGGGCAATGGGGAAGAGGAGGAGGAGGAAGAGGGTGATGGGGAGGAGGAGGAGGATTCTGAGGGCGGTGGGGGGGTAGCAGTATATTTAAAATATATATATTATATACGTACGCGTACGCATATTTTCGGGCACGTACGCGTACGCGAGCATACGTACGCGTACGTAGTGCGTACACGTACGAGGTGCTACCCAGCTATTTTCTAATTCTGTTGTTTGTTTTATGTGATGACGTTCCCATCAGAGAGTGGTACAAGGACCGCAGCCACGACCACTGTGATCAAGACAACACACAGTTGGTGAGTAGAAGACATCCACATAACAGTCCACGGTGAGTAGAGTCAGCCAACAAAACAACAATCAATCAAGATGCCATAATCTCATCCTTCTGCGAATGTCAATGCAGCCAGGCATAAGGGTCGACAGGTGGCACTACAACCTTATCGTGATGCTGTACTGCCCGCCAACACACTCAAGTGCAAATATCAATCCCTCACCAATCTTCAAGAAGTGGTGGCGCGTGCCTCCTGCCACATGTCACCACTTATCTGACTAACCCAACATGTCAGCGTCAATGGCCAGCAAGCCTGTCAACAAGTATGCCACGTCGACAATGCACTATTTGTCACCCCATTTGTCACTGGTTTGTCAGATCGAAGATACCGCTGGAGTATGGAAGCGCCATGTTAGAAGGTGAGTCACGACAAAGGTAAGTGTCGCATCAAACAATATCATGTCGTGTCTTAGATGCCACGTCAGCATCCATGCGCCATGCCACGTAGGCGGCGCTCCCAATGTGACGTCGGCACTCTCCTTCGCCCACTCTCTCTCTCTCTCTCTCTCTCTCTCTCTCTCTCTCTCTCTCTCTCTCTCTCTCTCTCTC